TTTTGACGGCCAAAATAACCATCGCGTTCAAAAACCAGGTGAACGGACAGGCGACGATGCTGAGAAGAGCCGCTACGATCAGAATATTGTGTGTTAGATCGGAAAAATTGTATCGGAGACGAACTGGAAAAAATAAATGATCACAGCTGTTTTCAAGGCCAACCGAAGAGGACCGATTCATTTTCGCCACACAGCAGAGTGCGTTTTTCGATAATTGTCTTCGCTTAAACGAGAACTCTTGCAACTGAAAATCGCAAAGAAAGTGCGTTGCTTTTGAAACTGAGAAGATAAAGAGAAGAAAGAAGTGAAGTGGACGTAAATGCAAATGTATTTTCTTTATCAGGGGCGCACCGAAAGTTGAAAAATTGACAAATACTTGTGAAAAAACTTCTCGCGGCTGGTATTCACGAATTACAACAGAGACGATGAAAAATGTTTCACATACATATGACAAAATTTCTCGTGGCTGGAACGATACCAGCCACAACTGTTATTTTTCACAAGTACCAGATGTTGCCAAAGAAACAAAATTTATTGTGTCGGTGAATGAATTTGCCGACGAAGAACTTAAAGCCAGGAAACTCGGATATCTCTGTTGTTATTAATGTAATTAACAAATACAGGATCACGTTAAGCGGAAAGCAATTAGCTGGGAAATGCGGTTTGAACGCATGCCACACCGAGTGGCCTTATGTGGTCGAAATTTGTATTGTTGTTGGTCGCTATTGGGGAGACTAATTACCGCCGACTCGACTTTCATCTGTCAAAAATCGGCGGTTTCGTTACTTTGAGGCCATGTGATATGGGTCAATTTTCTAGGGGATATTTTAAAAACTATCAACGTATCTGTAAATGGTGCTTGTATTCCATTAGCAGTACAAGATCGAATAGATATGGTTGTTACACTGAGTACTGGCTAATGATTTATATCCAGCCTAACCTGCTGAAAGCCTTTACTTATGAGATAAGAAGTAAGCAGTAAAAAAGGCTATTACCTACTCCATAAATGTTTCTCTCAGAGCTTCTGTAGGTTCAAGAAACTGAAGTGTTTTTTACCCCGCGAAAAGAGAAAAGTCCTTTTGCGACCTCATGTTTATATTTGTCTTTTTCCAAGCCTCCTTTCGACACTCTCTCGCTGAGAAGGTCATCGGTAAACAGTTCGAACCGAAATAATGGCAAGTTAGTGTTCCTCTTTCTGCCTTTCAGTCTTTGACTATAGCCATGTACTTCATCTGCCCACACGCACCTAAATGGCGTACTCTTGATCGACTCTTGATCCAACTTAACACCCAGTACAAGCTACTGAATATTCTACGGTGATATTTTTGCATCAAAATCCGGCATTAACTTCAGTCAGCTTGAAATTTCCATGGACAATGAATGGCGCAAGCTTCTGATTCTCACGTCAACCTCGTCTAATGTGAGGGCTGTGGGCAGTGAAAAGAAGTTACTCATGATCTTGAAAGAAATATATGTTATTCACTAGACGGGATGTCTGTATTGGGGAAAACTGTGCCCGAGGTCTTGGATACGGTACACAAGACAGAGGGCACAGTTTTTCCCAATACGGACCGACCTTGGCTGGTGAATAACATTTTTATTTTTATCTAAAACCTAACAAATGGTTGTAAAAAGAACCGCCTGCTGTGAGCGGAATGGATGGGGAGAATACTGCCCGCTCTCGGAACCAATCAGATTACAGGATTTGTGGAATACCGCCCGCTCACGAACTGAGAAAAAAAGTAAAATATATAAATATTCAAGAGTAGAATATCCAGTTAGCATTCCATGATTCGAACGAAAGCATATCTTAAATTTAGGGACGTGCGGTGCGTGCTAGGAATGTGAGTGTAATAAAACGAACG